GCATTTGAATATATTTATATAGATATTTGCGCTTTATAAGTTTTTGATAAGTTTTTGAATAAATTTCCCACGCGGCACGATCAATCAGAAGCACTACCCAGACCTGGGAAGTGACGTGTCATCAGTATGGAATTTCTGCGCTCGTTTCTCAGCCGTCATTTCGCGGGGAAACCAGTGGTGGCGTCGCCAAATGTCGGCTGTTTTCTCAGGCTAATTAAATGCTAGTGGTAAAACTGCTTGGAAGGACTACGTCAGCTGTAATCCCCGAACATGTCTACTTCAAAGAACTACATTTTGAGTTCAGAACAAACCCTTCAAACAAACGATACTACTCAAAACCTCAGGAACTGGGCGCTTATACACTGAATTTCCTTGGACTATGAACTGTTTTATTAAGAAACTAGCATTACTACAAAATAATCATTCGGAAACCCAATACGTAAGAAATACCCAATCGTCAAAAACAAAACTAATAGCTGTATTTATCAAGCAGGTCAATTTGACAAATTGACTAGTATAAGACTGAATACTTATATTCTTTTTACTCTTTTTTTTTCCATAGTAGAGGCTTCACAAGAAAATCATAAAACACGTAAACGAAAAAAGCGAAAAGCACAGGAGCCGACTGAAGGTATGCTAACAGTCAGGACATTCTATTTTAATCACGGAACGCACGTAAAGTTCATTGTCCTGTTACAGGTCGACCAGGGGCGTTCCTGGGTATTCTCTAGCTTTAAGCCGTTCACCAGAGTGTTGCTGGTATACGCTTACCAATTTACACCGGTTCAAGACCAGGGTTTTACAGACCGTAAAGTAACTTAAGTTTGATCTTTAAGTTAGAAAATGTTGTATTTCCCTGCTTCTATGTAATAATATATAGATTTAGCCAGGGCTAAAAGCAAGCTCTCGATTTACTGATACAAAAAAATAAAATCATGTAATGCTAAACGGCGACGTCAACAAGAACGGCAAAAAAATCAATTGGTCGATAAATTAGCCAAGAAAAAATAACTCTGCACAAGCAGCACACTTTTTTGTACATTTATTTGACGTTTTGCACGATTACAACGTGAAACTTCCTAGTTACACATCTTACATAGGAAATGTCGTATTTGATCACAAAAAGGTTTATTGTTTGTCTTCTCGTTCGCTTTTTTTTTTTTTTCACTGCCACTTTTATTCACCTTGCTGGCCGCTAGTATTTCTCATTTTCTCACCGCCAATTTTCATGTTTTTGTTCCAACGAAATTCGTTTTTTTTTTTTAACAAACGCTTCAGCTCTTTCCCTGTTATCCACGTAAGTAAAGACATAAACTGAATTTAGTTGGACTCGACTTTTTTGTTGTTTTCTCTTAAAAAGGGCGGGTGGCCATGCGATTTCCCGCCAAAAATCTTCGTGTTGCCTTTGGGTTGCCATACCTGGTGATTGAGTTAATTTACATTGCTATGCTTGTGGTGTGGATGGAGCGCGTAGGTCACGTGATTACCAAATTTTCTCCGATGCATTGATAATCAAGTATCTTGGTTATATACTAATTGATTCATGCCTAAACTGGAAAAAACATGTAGAATTTATGGACAAAAAAATTAGAAGAAGTGTTGGCATCCTATGCAAGTTATAATTAAGGCATTTTGTTGACTTAGAGATTTTAGTAAAGCTATATTATGCCTGTATTTATCCCTTTTTGACTGATGGCATTATTATCTGGCGCAGCGCATACGAATGAACTCTTAAACCATTAACTGTACTCCAGAAGAAATATATCCGTATTATCAGTACCTCTTTTAAATTTGAATTAAATTTTCAGATAATTAAGTTCTGTGATCTTGTCCCACTCCATATTGAAATTTCCATATTGTATAAGTTTCATAATAGGCTCCTACCAACTACATTTCATTCCTGCTTCACTATAGTAACCTATATCCAAAACAAATACTAGACTTGCAGCAAAACAGTCTTACTATCTTTCTTATGCCCGAACAAACTATGGTAGATTTAACATCCGTTTTTTTAGGCCCTTCAATCTGAAATTCCATTGATCATGAAAATAAAAGCTATCATTCTTGTCTATGTTCAAGAGAAACATAAAAGATTTATATTTTGAAACATACTAGATTAGTGAAACTGTCTCGTACGATCATGATACCACTGCTAAGTGCTCATTAATGAATCTATTTATTTATTTATGGACATTTTAATTTTTTAATACTGTACTTTTTATATAGTGTTATGTACTGTAAATACTTTATATTAAGAATTTATTTATTTAATTTATTTGTATACTCAATATCCTTTTTGATTTTGCTTTTTGTTTCGTTTTGTTTTTTTGTTTTTTGTTTCCTATAGCAGTAATGTTTCTTCCATATCTCTTTTTTCGCCTTCCCCCCTCCTCGATTACATATTCTATTTGCGGGGAAAATTAAACATTAAACTCTCTTGTATTGTTGATGTGTTGGACTTCCTAATAATAAAGTTTGTTGTTGTTAACCAAATTTTCTTACCATGATGCTCTGCTGTGCGCGAGCTCCGCTATGATTAACGCAAAGATAAAGCTGTGTTAGAATAGCATTCTAAAATGTAAGGCCGAAGGAAGATTTGTGTACATGTGTTCAGAATTCAAATACCAATCTACGGGGTTTCCTAGCGCAGAATCCCTGGACCACCGATGTCGATGCTCGTGTTCCGGTACGCATGTAGAAGCGCAAGCCCAGAGAACCTTTCTGCTCGCCTGTCAAACTATAGTGTAGGAGCGCGGCTGTCTTTAGGAGCTGCATGCCATCCGAGTGACCCTCTCGGCAAACATTTTTGGAATAATAAAACATACAAAAAAGATAATGTCTTTTTTTTCAAAAAAGGAAAGAAGATTAACCTCAAAATCTTTTAAGCCCGTGCTTAACTGGCTTACAGTCAGGTACGCCCCTTACAGTAACTGTACCTGGTAAAGAAAAAGGTCAAAAAAGAAATAGATGCTCTCTTAAGTGACTGAAACTTTTTTTTTATTAAGAGCACCCACGAAAAAAAAAGAAAACACAGTTGGATAAAGGGCAGGAAAATGCTGAAGGTACCCTAGTCAGTGTCTTAACGCATATATTCTGTGGTTTGCTTTCATACTTCAATTAATTGGTTTTTCTTTGTTATATACACATCATCAACATAGAGGAAAATAAAAAATATAGTTTACAAAGGAAAAATTGAACTAGCGCATACCCATTAATACCTTAGCAAAAGCGTGATGATTTTCTTCATTGAAACTTGGAAAGAACAGGTTTAACAACGGTACAGACCTTTATAACTCTGTTTGATTAAAAGTCTATGTAATGGATGTGTTTTCAACAGGTCTTTGAAAACTACTGCGTTAAATCCTGCAATACGTTTAATTTCTTTGTTTGTTTGTTTGTTTGTTGTTTTTTTCACTTTATATTAAGACGTCGAAATGCCATCAGGGAAGAAAAAGAAGAAGAAGAAGAAAAGAAAAAATCACAATGGAAACAGCATATCCGAAGGTACGCTAAAAGCCATACTAGGTTCTATTTTAACTCTAAATTAAATAGTTTTTTTGCGTTCTGTACTGTTTAAGTGACTGTATCATGGCTCACTTAGGTAAAGCAACTTGAGTTGACGTGAGAATTTTTGCTACTATTTTCTTTGTTTCCTTTGCACTATATTATTCATTACTAGACCCAAGCAGATAAATGAGTTCAGGAAAAAAAAGAGATCACGAGAAACCGATTTTTCGAAACACCGAAAAACCTTGTAACATGAATAAATGAATAAAGTCGTCTTTATGCCAGCATTTGAAAATCAAATTACTACCAGTAGTAATTGCAAATTAGGGGAGAGTGTTCGATGGGGAGGGGTGATAAGTGCCGGGGGGGGGGGGGATAGTGAGAGGTAGGGAGAGCCGGTAAGGGAGTGTAAAATTTGATGTGCTTGTAAGATTGATAGATTAACTCAAGACTAGCTCGCTCCAGGCTCTCAGATAGTAGGGATGACACGTAAGTGAAAGGCACGCGAAAATATGAGCGCGTGACCTGTCCCCAGTTTCCTCCTGTTTTATTTTCGTTTTCGCGCTTTCTCAATTCGCGGACCCGACTATCTCAGGTCCTGGAACAGGCTTCCTCAAAATGAGACTTTAAACAATGTGATCTCAGCAGCTGCCTTTATCAATTTCATTGTTATTGTTTATCTTCCCACTTCACAATTCATTACTATTTCGCTTTTTTCACAAAAATCCAACAGCGTCCTGTATATTTTACATTTACTGACTAAACCTCTAAGTATGTAACAGCAGGTCAAACACGGACAACATATCAACTTCTTGTATATGTTTCAAAAATGGTGACAAACAAAAGCGACTACAACGCTGTAAATAGCCTTTAAAAGGAAAAAGATGTGATTTGTAATAGAAATATGATCCGTCGATCTAAGCTGATGTAGCTTTTATCGCTAAAAACCAAGACAGATTGCAGAACACAATGTTAACATTATATATCTACATATCTGATTATCTTAGAATATACCCTGCAAGCAGTGGTTTCTCCAGGCTTGACGCTACGCTACGAAGAGAGAGAAACTCTCCCTTCGAAGCGTAGTGTCCAGCCTGAAGAAACCACTGCTCGTAGGGTACTTAGAATGGAGGTTTCTCTATAAAAAAGAACTAAATTAAAAACTATGAGAATAACGATAAACAGCAGTTAACACAAACTCGCCAATGTTCCATCTGTGGCAAACGAGAGTCACAAAATAGATACCAGTTCCAGAGCGAGAGAAAAACTGAACTGATCTAGGCCAATTGCACTAGCCAGCCAGTCCAAGATGGCGCGGCCCAAAACCGTGAAATCGCATGGCGTCTAGAACGATACCATTAGAATAGTAAGCGTCCTCTTTCGTCGAATGCAATAAGTCCACTGCAGTAAAGGCCTGCCAACTCGGAAGTGGAAGTCTTTGACGTTATAGTGGCAGTTCGTGAAAACTGATACTCATAAAACTGAATCCTTTATTATTTTTCGTTTTTATAGAGGAAACTACAAGAGAAAGCAAGAAAAGAAAAAATAAGACGTCACCGGAGAAGGATGAAGGTGCCTTAATAGCTTTAAATGTCAGAGCCAACAAATATGACCAATCCATCTCGCACAACCTTATGTCACGTTTTGTTTTTGTTTTTTTTGCAACAGCTCTTACGTACAAAGACCCGATGACACGGGTATTAAGCAACCTCCTAAGTACCCAATTCCAGGGCGGCAGGAGAGAAAAGGGTCTTATTCTTCCGCCATAATGGGAAACGAGAAGAACCTGCGGATGAGGCTGCCATCCTTTTTTTAAGAGGGTTTCTGTGGCTAAAAGTTGCTTTTTATCATCCGATAAGCGTAAAATTGAAGGCTTATAGTTTTTTCCTTTTTTATTGTAGAACCTCCACCAGATCAACAGGAAAGAAAAAAGGCTAAAAAGCAGAAGACCAAAGGTACCCTCTCAAAGCAAGTAGTGGGTAACAAATAGATTTAGCCATGGCTAAAAGCGAAGCTCTTGTGGAATCTTTTAAGAAATTTAGTGGCCTAAGATTTTTTGCTAATAATCACGTTGAGTGTCATTTATGACAAATGAATCAAGTTGATCCTTAGAAACTCGTTTTGAAAACAAAGGGTATGGAAAGGGAGATGTTGATATTGATGCTGTTCAAAACTGAACAATTGACGAAACCTTACTAGTGTTAGGGATAGGATACATTCTAATTTGGGCCGGGGCTTCGGGTATGCCGGGTCTGATTTGTTTACTATATTAATAAAGCTTGTCAATTAACTAAGCCAGGGATAAGGTCTTTCATGAATGGTTGCCCTGATAGAGGAAAGAGAAAATACGTAGTTTATTCGTAGTGTCTAAAGGAAAACCTTAACTTACTGGTTTTGTTGATGCAGATTTTTTGTTTGTTCCTTTTTAAAGAAATAGAAGATGGCGCGGTTGTTGAGTATGATTTGGAAGGGTTGTCAACGGAGCTTGGGAAATCGTGGAAAGCGCTTGCTAAGCGCTTGAAATTCGGCCAAGGAACAATACAAGGATTTGACCATGATAACGAAGACCTCCGTGACAAATCTTACAGCATGTTGGTTGCGTGGCAAAATAGAGACGGGTCGTCAGCAACTTACGAAGTCTTGTACAAAGCTTTGTGTCATGAATATGTTGGACGTATGAAGTTAGCAGAAAAGTATTGCATTCGTAAATCCACAGACAAAGAAGAGTGCACATGTGAGGGTTGAAGACTGAAGGTAAGAGAAAATTAAGATTATTATGCTCACCGAAGTCTATTTTGTTTTGAAAGCGGGAAATTGCACAAGGCAGGCTTAGTGCCATTATATCTTCATTTAAAGTGAAGCAAGTGTGACCGAACCGGACAGAGTGTTGGCCTTGAAATCATGAGGCCCCAAGCTTAAGTCTCTCTGATAGTTAACTGGATTTGAAAGCAGCCAACCGGTTTGGATTTCGCCAGTTGGGATTCTTAATCTTATTCATCATCATCATCATTCGGCCTTTTCGGTCCGGATGCTCTGAATAATCTTATTCCATACATTCAGGTCCGACATCGCGTTTGCAAGATCCCTCCTCTTCCGATGTCTTTGATATTTGAACTATTGTTGTCTCAGTAAGCTACCTGGCAGGGCTTATATATTGATTTATTTTAGTAATTTTTCCCAGCCATTTTGAGGTGGAGCTAATTGGAGAAGGGGGCTAATTTAATACTGGAGAGGCAAATCTTGGCTATTTATTTCATTTCGTAAACGGTATTACTGAGAGCCTCGTTGAGATATTAAAACCTTAGTGCGGAGCACCCAATAACTTACACTGACCCTTTGCGCATACATTGTGCAATCTGCAGATAATCATCGCTTTCAAAGAATTGATTAATACATTTACAGTGTTTAAGTGGAACAAATCAAATCGTGCGGGTAATTGGGAAGGTGCTTGTTTAAGAGGGGGGACGTAATAGGCAAGTCAAGGCGATGTTGAAATTATTTGGAGTCCTAATCCAAACTAGTACATCAACTTCATCAAAAAAATTAAAATTAAAAATTGGGTAGCTCGACTGGTTGATTGTTCAACAGCGCTGGGTGGGAGAGCCATATATAGCCATATGATTTCTTTGAAACATACCCCTAACCTTCATTTGCAAGTCAAATTCTATGCTTTGACAATAGCTGTTTATCCGGTAATCTTTAGAGCTGATAAACCTTATTTATGTTATAGGCTCAAAAAAACCTCTCCGAACAGAAAAAAAGAAGAAAAAAAAACAGAGAGCACAGGCGGTGACTAAGCTGAGTGGTGAGATCAGCTGAATGTCATTGACGCTATTAACCAGAATCTCATAAGATTTACACCGGTAAGAACTAAAAAAAAAGGCTTTCGGGATCACGAAGTGTACCAATGAAACACAACGTACCCTTCTGTACCAAATGACGTAATACAAAAGTGGATTAAAGTCTAGCTTTAACTAGCTAAAATTGTTTTGTCTCGATATATTTGACCAACTAGTTGGATTTTACTAAAAACATTATTGCTCTGGCCCTCATGGACTCTGAGTCAATAGCCCATTCGGGCTCCAGGAATAATTGTTAACTATACTCAATACTATATTACTAGTAGAGCAACGATACTGAGAAAGCGATTACCTATTAGCTCCTATTAGGTCGCTTTATGATACCCTGCGAGCAGTGGTTTCTCCCTAGAAAAACCACTGCTCGCAGTGGGTATGAATCGTTGGAAGGAAAAAAATTTCATGAGACGGATTTCTGGCTTAATAGTTTGTAATTATTTATCATTTATCAGTCTGATGATCGCTTAGTGCGTGAAACTCCGAGTTACAACTGTATTACCTTCTATCCTTTTCTTTTGTATATATTTATATATTTATATATTTATTTATTATGGTTGCATTCACTGACTTGGTAAATACACTAACAAATGCTACTGTTGTTTACTAAAAGAACTATAGCACAGTTGCTATATATAAATACTTCACTGTGTTTACGGAAGACAAACGTTATACATCCCACTCTATACTAGAGAAACTATCTCAATATATAAACCTATTTCACAGAGGACCCACATCATACTGAGGTACCATACTAATCTATATCAAGATTTATTTCACTCCATGTTAGAGGATCCATTAGTTACTCGGCCTGCGTGGGAGGTATCGAAAGGGGAGTGAATTGAGGGAAAAGGGATTAGGACGTTTTTCTCCTCCCCCTCCCTCCCCTTTTTTTGCGTTAATACCAAGCAGACTATACTATACTAAATTTCATTGTTTCCTCATTTCGTGCGTGTCAGCAAGTTACATTTTATTTATCAAATTTAGATGAAGATCATTGAGCAAGTCATTAAAAGAGTGCTTACTTAGAAATGAATATATCACTTAAATTGTGCTTGTCCTCAACATTTATTTCCCTTCCCGTTGTAGTTTTAAGTTTAAACTTGTGGACCCCAGCAACCTATTTTGTGAACTCACTCAAATGCCCCCACAATCCGTCCTTTATTGGACCAAAAGTATAACGTCATCTCTTTTAGGCGCCTGAGTAGGGTAGATACATTATGCTACGCCTGAGCACTGTTTGCTCGTCACATGACCAGTACTCCACGTGTAATAATGTTCCTTCAGATGATAGCTTAGTAAGTTGTAGCTGTTTTATTAATCAGTGTTATTATTCGTTTAGTTTTCACACAGGTGTCCCAAACTCAATATGTGAGCGCATGTTTAAAAATAAATACATCTGCTAATATTGCGGAACGTAGCGTTATTTAGGGTTTAGTTTATGTGGGAAAAAGTTTTAAAAAATAGGAGAAATCGAAAAAAATAGTGTGACAAACAGATAAAATAAACTTATTTTTGCTGTATTTTGTGTTCCTGTCTCGTTTTGAATCGATCAGGGCTGGTTTTGCTACAGCAAAAGGCGACTTGAGGTTGGGGTGGATTTCGCAAACGAAAACTGTGATTACCAATGGAAAATTCCTAGCTTCGCTCCCGAGACGATTAATAACTCTGCAGTTACCCAAACAAATTGTGTCGACTTTGTTCTTCAATCAGGCACTTTTATTCCTTCCCAAGAGGTCCGCCAAATATTTAATCGCCACGGTCCCAAAACAGCTCGTGCCAGAACGGATGAGGATTGCCCAACCTTTATCCAATCTGGCTTGTGCTCTCGAGGATCCGTCGTCTCTGTTTATTGGAGACTTTAAGCAAGGACTACTGAAGGGTCTATTACGGTGACCGGAAATAATTTTTTTGCCACCCGTCATGACTCGTCAATGCCTCAAGTCAGCGAGTTTTACCACCACCACGGTCCTGGTGGTTAAAACGCCGTTTATCGCGATAAATCCATTTCGCTTACTTTATCAAATGTTGGCGAACTCTCCTGAAGTTAAAGTCGTATAGCGACCCCCTGCAGCAAAGAAATGTGAAAAAATCCATTAAAAGAGTGCGATGCATGGGCAAATTCAGGAATTGCTTCTGATTGCTTCATTCCTGTTCACACCTCTTGGTGAGATGTTATCCTCTATCCCGTCAACTGTATGCATTGGGTTATCGGCCTGAAACGAAGGGTTATGTGATTTATTCCTCTCGTGCGAGGGGAATAAATCACATAACCCCTCGCTTCAGGCCGATAAACGGCTTGTTTTTACATCGACAAGGATTCCTCAAGGGACAGGGGCACCCAACGACGGTTTTCCCCTAACTACATTAAAAACACTTTTTAGGCTATTAAGAGTACTTTTAGATCTCTAGAAATGGACTTTAAACGGCGCTATAAAATTTGTATCTGTTCGGTCATCCTTAGGGAGGGGGAAGGTACAGGAGGGTAAATTTCCCTCCTCCTTACGTTTTCGCCCCGATCTCTCCCTCCTCCCTACTTTTTCAGGCCATTTCTCCCTCCCCACTATTCTGTACCCCCGCCCCCTCCTTGAGCAACCTTGAGGTTTTTCGAAATTACAAGGGCCTCAGTTTTATTTCTCCGAAAATCTTAGATGCAATTTAGTCTAACGTATTTCGAAAGTGAGAATTTTTCGGACTCCTCTTTCCGTTACATTTCTAAATCCGAAAATCTTAGATTTCCTTTTTTCTACGAAAAATAGCCAAACCTGGGGATGAAATGTGAAAAATTAAACTTCAGAAAATCGTAGGGAATTTATTAGATAAGCTTCGAAAGTTGCACCGATCGCACGAGTCGCCTCTATTTACTGTAGAATCGACTATAAACTTGACCTATCAAACTGTCATGAGATCGTGTTACAAACCTGGTAAAATATTAAACGAAAACAAAAGTCGACCGATGGGCGACGAATTCGGAAACGAAGCTTTCCGAGCAAGGCACGAAGTGCCAAGAAGAAAAAGAGACAAGCTTGTCTCTTCATTATATGGTAGTCGCTGTTATTCGTCCGCAGTCATTGCCTTCAGCGGTTTTGCGGAGCACTGGTTTATGACAGCTTGCTCGATTCTACAGTACAAAAACAAAGGGGATGCGCGGTATTAACCGTAAAATTAAACAACAACCAATAATCACGGGCCACAAATAACTCCTCTGCGCCCTGTGCATAGTGAATAGGCTCTTTGCATGACTTGATCAAGTGATCAATTTTCGGTAAACGTGAAATCCAGGGCGGATAAAGGTTGGGCGGTGAAACGAGCGCTCTGCTCTTCATTTAATGTGTGATGCGGAGTAGGACTGGCACGAGCGCTCTTTCCGTGCTTCCGGTGCGCTCGAAGGCCGGCGAAATTTTCCTTTTTGGAAACCGGAAATCCTTTTTTCTTTCTGTAATTTCAGGCTACAATGTTAAATAGATAAATTCGTTTCATAACAATATCAATAAACAGTTTAATATGTTTGTGTCTGTACGTCGATAAGTCAATTTTGTTGGTCGTATAATGCCAAAATTTGAATTTTATTTGAAAATGTTGAATACCTCCCCCTTCCACTAAATATCACCTAATCGTCTTTCACCGTTTCGTTTGCAAAAGCTTAACACTTCTTAACCTCAATTTTAACATATGTTAAAGGGGGATAAATTTTATATAACATAACAAAAAATTAGATTGATATATAGTGATATAGTGGCGTTGTACTTCTTCAAACTTTGCTTCTCGGGTGCAACGCGCCATGGCGATTCGCGCAATGCGTTGCAAATCCGGCAACCGCATGTAAACAAAATTTATTGAGGTTAGTTGTAAGGTTTTTTCTCCGTTTTTCTCTCTAAAGCAAAACAAGGT